AATAAAAAAGTTATTTAGTTTCGATTCTTATTCGGTTCTTCGGTTCTTGGTCTAAATCTGACCCAAATCCATCGGTTCTCGATTCGGGTACCCGTTCGAGAATTTAATTTATGAAGAACTGCTCGGTTTAGTTCGGTCCGGTTCGAGACTTTTGGACACCTCTAGATAAGGGTGTAAAACACACCTATTACTATTAGTTAAGACCAGTATTATTAACATAAAAATTTAAAATACAGTTTAATTTATTTTGTTGTTTATTTGCTATAATTTTTCTTGTGGTTGAAGAAACCAACATTGAGGAATTGAGAAGCAGGTGATCACTTTTTATTTTTGGCCTGGGTTGATGTATTGCATGCAATACCTGCTAAGGAAAATGTATATTTCCCATTATTATTTAGCTATTCAAGCTCTTGAGAAGCCATCAGAAGTTGAAAGTGGGCTCATTGCTTATTAGTATTGAAATTGAAGTTTTCTCATTGCTTTATTTTCTCTCATACTTTAAGTGGACAATATGTGCGAATAGAGTTCGGCTTCCACATCACTGTAATTTCGTTGTTTGGATTGGATTAAACTCGATGGAATCGCTTAGAATTGGAAAGGATCTAAACCCTTCTAACAACAAGTTATTGTCGTGTCGTCTATTGAGCCTGCTATGCCATTTGGTTTGAGTTTTGCAGTAAAAAGCCAAAGAATCGCACTCGCAAGACCCATATAGGACATACTCATCAGAGGGACAAATGAATTTGTACAAGATAATTCATATATTCATACTTCTGGTTTAAAGGTATAGTTCGACTTTATATTTTCAGAACCTATCTTTATTGGTGAATACACACCCTTCATTTATGCTATTATTTTGGTTCAAGAAAATATACATATCCGTTTGGCTTAAAAAAATAAATTAAAAGAAATCACTTGCCTTCAATCAATGGAGACATTTAGGGCTATTCGTGTAAGTTCCCTAAAAATTAAGGCTTTCGATTGTAGTCATTGTGGATCTTAAGCCCATTTAACTGTCCATAAAGACTTTGGGCCATGAATATCAACTTGAGGATAGAACTGTCTTTTCACACACCCAACACGAAAACCCTAGCTCGTTTACATAAACGCCAAACCCAAATTAAACATAATTTTACATAAATACTTGCAAAAGCTCACTCCCGCACCTCTCCAAAACCCTTCATCCCCATTCCACTCTGACCAGGATCTGCCGAAATGCCGCCAAAGTTCGACCCGTCACAAGTAGTCGACGTCTTCGTCCGGGTAACCGGCGGCGAAGTGGGTGCCGCCAGTTCTCTTGCTCCGAAGATTGGTCCCCTTGGTCTTTCGCCAAAGAAAATCGGTGAAGATATCGCTAAGGAAACCGCCAAAGACTGGAAGGGTCTCCGTGTGACCGTCAAGCTTACCGTTCAGAATCGCCAAGCCAAGGTGACTGTGGTTCCCTCTGCCGCCGCCCTTGTCATCAAGGCCCTCAAGGAGCCCGAGCGTGATCGTAAGAAGACCAAAAACATTAAGCACAATGGCAACATCTCCCTAGATGACGTCATTGAGATAGCCAAAGTAATGGCTCCACGATCCATGGCCAAGGACTTATCCGGCACCGTTAAGGAGATCCTCGGGACGTGCGTCTCGGTTGGGTGTACGGTCGACGGGAAGGACCCTAAGGATCTGCAGCAGGAGATTACCGATGGTGATGTTGAGATTCCACAGGATTGAAAGGGAGTTTGAACCTTAATCTAAATCTCCTAGGAATCGTTTTTATTTTTGTTTGGTAGTTTTTGTTTTGTTGTTGAAAATGCCTGGTACTGATATGAATTATTATTTAAACTTTTGCTGAGAGGAATGAGACTTGGTTTAATTTAGATAATTATGGGTTTTGATTGCTAAGTTCTGTGGAATTATTGTTTTTTGTGATATCAGTTAATTTGAGTGTTCTCAAATGGATGATTTCAAAGTAGACTGTCTGCACATACACTTATTCTTTCTAAAAAGAGATGGAAGATCATTTGAAAATAGGATAATTCGGGTAGGCGCTCCAAGTGGTATTTTTCGTATTAATTATGAGTACATTCAGTTCAATTCAAAGGGGTTAAAGGATTTTTGAAATCACCTATTTGGACTGTTGGGTTGTTCAATTTTTGGAGAGGTGAGCTTCCATAGTCTTAACTTTAAGAGATGGGGATAAATTAGAAGTAAAATTCGTTCCCACTTTGAATCCTGACATTCACCTACAGGACCAATTAGGCCCTTGCTCGTGATCATGAACCAGAACTAGCATGGGTAAAATTGCAGTGGTTAAGAGATTGGCTCAAAGAATTGTCACTGGTGACATTCCTAATAAATAGTAATCTTGCTCATGTGAGTCTTATAGATATGGGAGCTTTAATTGCTGGAGAAAAATACTGATGGGGATCCAAAGGGAGCCCAAAGGCTTTATTTAAGGAACTCAAAGAACATGAAGAAAGTGATTCTATTTAGTCGTAGGATCAATTAACTTGGTCAATGTGATCTCAGCATACTACAATATCTTCCTGTTATCGAGCAATTTCTGAAACCAAGAATGATCTTTCCCTGTTGACGTTGGATGTATAGAATTTAACCTGCTGAAGTAATTTATTTTGCTATTTCTTTCTAAAAATTCTTTGTTAGTGCCAAAGATGTTCATTTTCCATGTTGGATTCTATTTTATGGGCAATTTATCTAGTTTTGATAATAGTTACCATTTAGTGGAATCAATCTGATGTTGAAAGCAGTCAAGTTTTTGTTAAAATTGTGTTTTTTTTGGACCACTTCATCATATATCATTTTCTTCCCCATCATTATCGTAGAAAATTCCTTTTTCCGTTCCATTATTTTCTCTTGCCGACTGACACCATAATTTGTGCGGTTTTGACTTTAGATTATTAAGAGGGTGTTTGGTGAGGATTAGTTTTTTGTTAAGTTTTTTAATGTGTGGTTGAAAAGTTGTGGCACCCATGAAAGATGTGGTTAATATTGATTGTTTGACTTTGATTTTGATTAAAATCAGATTTTAATCCGGAACAAACGGGCTAAATTATGGGTTTTTGAATATATAACCCTTTGCACTTTCTTCCTTTTCCCTTTAGAATGAAGTTTTGCATGCAATCAAGCTCATTTCACGGTTGTTTGTTGAAGTGATTGCTTTTAGTGTTTGTTTAGAGCATGTTTTGTTATTGTTTACCTCAGAAATCTCTGCTCATTACATCAGTTTCTACATATACCCACGTGAAAGATTTATCACCTTACTCAAATACCATAGTTTGCAAGATTTTGTACATTGTAGGCCAGTATGAGAATGTGTGCTGAATGAGCACTCTGGATAGTTTTGTGGCGATTTGGGAGATTGCTCACAATTCCTCTTATTGACGATTAATTCTTATTAACAAGAGAGAGCTTGTGAGGTTTCTTAATGACGGAGTTTTATCAAGTTGTGATATCTATGGTGAAGTCTTGGTTTTTGCAGTAACTTGGCGTTTGGCTTTAATAGATTACATTACACAAGAAATCCGGGTTTTCCATTAGATTGAAACCCCTATTAATGCCATTCGATTTCTACGAATTCATCAAAACTATCTTGGGAACAATCTTTCGCTGTAGACAGTACTCTAAACTCGATTTCCAATTCCTTATTCTTTCTTCCCAGATTCAGGAGGGAACAGAGCAAGTTGTTACCAAACTTGTAAAATACGCTTTGGCAGTTTCAGAATACCTGCTTTTACTTGAATTCAATGGCAGAGTATTAGGAACTTGAATTCCTCCTGGATATAAGTAGCTTCGGCGCCCTTTTATGTTTCCCCGTAAGCCTTAACCAATTGACCAATACCCAATTTGAGACAATTGACGAAGAGAGAAAGGAAAGAATTGATGTTGATAAATTCATTGCACTCTTTTATTCAAATTGTTTTCGACCAATTGACCAATACCCAATTGCCAATTGGAGACAATCGACGAAGAGAGAAAGGAAGGAATTGATGTTGATAAATTCATTGCACTCTTCTATTCATAATTGTTTTCGATTTGCCAGTTTTGTGGACCGTCACTTGATTTCAGCAGGATGAAATACACAGCCAGCAAAGGTGAAAAGACAAAAGTGGATGGCGAAGAGATGCTGAATTTGAGTTGTCGAGATGGAAAGGTAGGTGCCACCATTACCTTTCAATCTCCCATTTGAGTCTGGCATTCATTTATGTAAAGTGGTGTCAATCAAGTTAGGTCAACTGTATAGAGACTAGGAATGGTTTGCCTTGAGGGGGAGCTCCAAGTTTGGGTCGCCACATTTTGTGACTTGTCTCTGTTTTGTTTCAGAATTGTTGTCGGTTTCAAAATCAACATTTGAGCATGGTGTCACTGACCAGTAAAGCTAACTAAAAAATAAAGTCGCGAGAGAATCAAAACAAAGTTAAACGATCATGGAGCTGTGAATTTGAAAAAAATCATGACAGGGCTCGTTAAGCGCATGGGGCTGCTCGACCCAAGGGATTTGACTGCCCCCATAAGGAGGTGGTCGAGCTCAACTCGATCAGAAATCATTAATCTTTAAATAACTGGACACTGATCAACGGTAGATGGTCATCGATGACCAGAATGTAGAGAAATGGACCTTCGATTTGATGGAATTCGGGTCGGGGGCAGTTCAACTTATCAACTTATCAATATCAGACTACAATGCACAAAGGCAGAGAGAATGCAAATGCACGAAGGAGACTGAAGCGCACACAGTTTCTCTCCAATATATTCACAAGACATGCACGTTTCCATCACTATGAAAATGATTATATGTAAGTTAGATTAGGTTACCTAGACTTGGCCAATATTATCCAACAAATTGGTCAACACTAAGATAATTAGTGGCCATGAGTTGTTTAATTAATTAAGTTGCTTCCAATTGCTCGAGTTATTTTCGGGTTGAGCCAATAAATTGATTGTGTTGGCAGTTTTTTCACTCATCGGCCGAGACCTATAAAATATAATCCAAACTGTTTAACATCGTTGCTCGAGATTTATTGGGTATCAAAACATAACCCAGGATAATGCTACCATACTCGAAAAATGCTTTGTAAGTGCATTACCACAAGAAATCTTGGTTTATTGGCTTTAGCTCTCCCAATTTATCAAACTATCTTAGGAATAATCCACTTCAATAGATAATAC